GAGCGGCTGGGCCCGTGAGCCATGGCCGCTGAGCCTGCGCGTCCGGAGCCTGTGCTCCGCAACGGGAGAGGCCACAGCAGGGAGAGGCCACAGCAGTGGGAGGCCCGCGTACCGCAAAAAAAAAAAAAGGAGGACAACCCTCAAAACTGGTTCTTCTCCAACACTTTTCAGAAAAGGAACTGTGTTGCCTGTTTCATTGACATTTTATTCACTTCCAGGCTGTTTGAGGCCCTTTTGTTTACATGATTGTGTCTATCAATGAGCTTTTGTTGTGTAACTCAAGACCTAAAACTTGGTATGACACCACCGTCATCTGTTTAGGTCATGATTCTGCAGGTCAGCTGGGTGTTTCTCCTGCTGGTGTCTGTCAGGCTCATTCATGCATCTGTGGTCATCTGCCCTTTCATTTGGGGGCTGGTTGGTCTAGAGGGACCTCTGCTAGGATATCTCCTAGCTCTTATCCTGCAGCAAGCCAGCCCAGTCTTCACATGGCAGTGGGTGCCAAGAGCCACAGAGAAAGGGCAAGCCTCAGTGCACTTTTCAAGCCTTTGCTTGTTTCACATTTGATACTATTCATTGGCCAAAGCAAGTCCTGTGGCCAGCCCCAGCGTGAGTGTGCAAGGGCACTATCATAGAGTGTGGACACTGGGGGCAAGTAGATGAGGGAGGATGGGGCATTTGTAGCCATTTTTGAAGTCTGCCACTACGATCTTGCTAATCTGGACCCCAACCTGGTGAGACATGCCCTTCACATACTCATTTCATGGAGCCATGCATATGCACATCCCCATTTTATGGAGTGTGCCACAGGACCCAGAGAGGTGAAGGGTGTTGCCCAGGTCACACAGCAACCTGGCCTGGAAGCTGTCCTGGTGCCAGCCCACTGCCCCGTACCACCTCCCTTAGTCCCCTCTATGGTGATGCTGAGTCAGAGAGAGGATGAAGTACCACCCAGGAGCCACACCTAGCTCCCCCCCACCCCCAGACATCCACCAGCAGAGACACTGAAGACCCTGGTGTCCACCCTCCCCAGATATTGGCCTCTGGGAGCCACCAGTCCCATCCTCCAAGCCCCAGCTGCTCCCCCTTTGGCCCAGCACAGTGGCAGGCTGGTTGTTTCAATCCAGGGTCTTTTAAAAGTCTCGTGCAATTTTTAAAAATTTTAAATGTGAGTAGGTGAGACTGTAATAGTGGAAAAGACAAGTCAACAGTATTTGGAGGCAAATTAAAATTTCTCCTCCCTTTTCCTATGCCCACGGTTCTGCAGTGTTCACCTTGCCTGGCTCGCAGCCCATTTGCCATGCCTCCTGCCCCTGAGTGCCTTGAGGATCTGGAGTTCTATTGCACACATACATCTGCTTTTAAATGCCTCATGTGCTTGTTTCTGTCTCGCCTGCACGGGCCTGAGTGTCAGGGTTTGCAGGAGCAAAAAGATCGGCACCAGGAGATGTGGAAGCCAGTGGGCCCAGTCTGGCCACATGAGCCCTGTGTGCCCAGGAGCCAGTGCTCTGCTGGCTACATTCCCTGTTTCCATGCATCTGAGCCTTGGTGAATCCACCCAGGCATCTGGCCATCCATCAACTAGTCCGTCACTGCATCTACCCTCGTCCTTCCCAGAGACACGTGGCAGTGAAGAACAGCAAAAGAACACCCAAGTCTTTGGAGTGACCACACCATGGTCCTCCCCAGTGACAGATGGCAACAGGCAGGATGTCAACTCGGGCCAAGCTGCACGGAGGGCCAGGAGTGATGACTGTGTGAAAAATTAATACCCCAAGGGAAGGTTAGCACGTTTGGATTCTCCAGTCCTTGTGCTTCTCAGTGGGGGCTCAGAACTGTGTGTAGAAATGATTGACCTTGGATAAGACAGGCACAGCGGATGGCCTATGCCCTCTTTTGTTTCAGATCTTCAAACACAACCCTTGTTTTTTGAAAATGAACAGATGGAATCCTGGCATCTCAAGCCAGAATGGTCCTGGATCATTTGTCCAATTCCCTCCTTGTATAGAGGGGAGACTGGGGCCCAGGACACGAGAATGATTTGGGATTGAGGGAAAGACCTTGGATAGAAAAGACAAATGGCTCTTCCACCTGGAAAGGGGAGGAAGTTGTGGGTTCAGGCCCAGCCTTGTCAGGGAAGCCACAAATCTGGCCGGCCTGGCAGCAGCTCCTGCAGGTGGCTAAGTGGAAGTGGCCACAACCTCTGTACCATCTGCTTGGCACAGGGAAGGGCCTCCTGTGTCTCTTCTCCCAGGTACGGAGCTCCAGCCCAGCTGGCTAGGAGGGGTGAAGAGAGGAGAGGCCTCCATATGTTGCAGGTGAGCAGGGTGGGGCTGGAAACTGCTTCCAGCCTGATTCTATGCAAGTTAGTAGTGATGTCCCCAGGGTTTGGGCAGTACCTGGGGCGTGCACGGTGCTCCTACATTGGCTCCTCTCGGTAACCCTGGAGGGAGCATCCCACTCCCAGGTGAGAAGCCTGGAGTTCATGGGTAGGCTTTCGCCCAGTTACACAGGAGGCCTTCCAACCAGATGAAGACCTTATGACAGACAGATGGGGAGCTGAGCAGGCAGCCCAGGTGAGGAGGATGAAGACACGGTGTTACCGTCCCAGGAGTGGGCCAGAGGCTTGGGTTGGAGGCCACATTGAAGGAGCAGATGGGAGTGACCTCCCAACAGGACAGTGCCTGGGTCACTCCTGGGGAGCCCTGGCCCACCCACCTCCACCAGCCAGTGATTGCTGAGCGCCCCACTGTGACCCCAAGGGCTGGACTGACAGTTTGTGGAAAGGACTCATGCACAGACATCAGGATGCCTCAAGCAGGATGTTTGTGAATGCAAAACTGTGCAGTTCAGGCAGGAGTTGGAGGGGCTGGAGTTGTGTGCAACCACGGAGTCTCTCTGGAGGAGTGGGGAGCTGGGCCTTAAACACTGAGGCCACTTTGCAGCGTAGTCTTGCGGGTGGGGGTGGAGAGGGAGCATATTGTCTTCCTATTCAACTAAAATAATGTTTGGATTTTGGATCTACTATCTAGCGCATGCCCTTCAGGCAGGGGCACCCCTGTGTCTGACCACGGTGAGCTCCTGTGCGGTTGGTAAATAGGAAGCGAGCACAGAGCAGCTGCGTGCCAGCTGAGTACCAGCTGGGTGCTGCCATCAAGAGCCCAGCCGGGGGAGGGCTCATCCTCCCCGGTCTGTGCATAGACCGCTGGGTTCTGGTGAATCAGGTGTTAACCCTGTCCCTCTCTTGTCCCCTGCAGGCACCGGCCCTAACTACACCACAGACCCACTCCTGTCCCTGCTCCTGTTAGCTGTACATAAGTTCCTCCGCCTGCTGGTGGGCCCCTGACAGACTCGCCGTCCTGCACTCCTGAGTGGGCCTGCGTGGCTGCCCAGTCCCTGGGTGAGGACTGCATCGCCAGACAGACGCAGACAGACTCAGAGAAGCATGACCAAGTCCACGTGGAGAATAAATAAATCATATTTTTGGAGAAGTTACACAAATGTAGACCACCTAAAATAATGCATCTAGTTTCCAAATAAGATGGAGTTTGGACCATGCAGTATGCATGGGATCAATGATTTCTCTATTTTAATGTATTTTTCTTTTCTAAACTTTTCCTCCAAGTCTTCATTTTGCACGAACTGTTGAGCAGTTATCTTTAGGATACTATGTAAAAATGTTGGGTTAAAGCCTTTCTGACAAAGGAAAATATTTTTAGTAGATTATTGTGTTTAGGAAATTTTTAATTTACTTTTTCCTTTGGGGGCTTTTCTCTTTTTTTATTAAAGTAAATTATTTCTTTTGAGACATTTTGATTAAAAAAAAGATACATCTTATCATAATTAAAATTCACTGTCAATAATATTTATTTTTAAATAAAGATTGGAAACAAGGTCAGACACTTGTTTATAAACTGTATTGTATAATGCTGAATAACAGTTGAATAAAAAACAACTTTGAAATAACCTTTCTACAGACATGTATGAATGTTAAGCCTTGGTGCCCAAAGCAGCCCGAATGCTGAATGCCATGACCTCATGGTCTCTGATGCCAGCTGCACCCTTGGCTGTCTGTGGCCCAGCCTGGAGGACAGCTCAGGGCACGCGGCCAAGGCCACACTGAGTAGACTGGAGTGCTTGCCCAGCCTCTGCTAGGCACAGGGAACCTCATGGAACCGGGAGTGAAAGGCACCCCCAGCCTGGGTCCTGAAGGAAAGCAGTTCCCGGGAAGAGGTGTGATATAGATCAAGAACCATTTTTTTTCCCTTTTGGCTTAACTCTTTGTGCAAATGCATTTGCCCACTTAGAGATTATGCACCCAGGTGTGATTACGGTTGTTGGACTCACTGCTAGTTTGAGGAGAGAATCTGGGGAGAAGGTGGGGCATTCCACACTCTTTCTTCATGCATC